ACTTTTTTCCAAGTATAATGAATACTTCATGTAACTCGATCCGCAATACCATTCTCATTATACCCTACAACACTTTGCGGTCAGGGTTTTATATCTTTCTGCATTTGTTTGTAACATAGAGAAGGAAGCGAGTCAGACCCCCAGTTACTTTTGAGGATCTTCATAGAATCACTTTCTGAGTCGATTAATGCATGTTCGTCCATCTGTCCTTCATCCGATTTGTTAAATTTGTCCTCCAGAGCCGTAATAAGCATCCCGTATCAATGATATTCGAAATATATCAAATACATCATAATTATATATCTTTTGCACGTCTATTACACATATTATCGACATCGGTTCAGATTTGACTATAGCTCTCATATATACCTTCACTGAAGTTGAAGTTACTTGTGTAGCAAGTGGTTAATATAAGCCCGAATTGAATGGATTTTGGCAAACACAAACAAATTTAGCCTGGAAGAAAGTGTATCAAATTGTGTCAAAATCGGTTCAGATATAGATATAGGTCCCATATATTTTTCATCCGGTTTTTGTATTTTACTCCCTCACATCCGCAAAATACTTTACACAACAACGATATTTGATGCCAACTACAAGATACGGCAGAGAAATACCTCTGCTAAATTTTATAAAAATCGGTTCAGATTTGTATCGCGTAAAAATATATATGGAGGCTATATATATTTTTATGCGATTTCCCGAATATCGGTTCAGACACAATTGTCTTCGACAAATTTAGTAGGATACGCTAGAAGCCTGCCAAAAATTAGCTCCTTTCGGCTTTAAATTATAACTGCTTTAATTTCCCATAAAAACGTTTATTAGTAATATTTAGATCTAGTATATATGCAAAGTGGTGTAGGGTATCATAAGGTCGGTCCAGCCCGACTTTGGCCTTTCTTTACTAGGTTTCGTTGCATTTGCCCTATATTAACGACGTCTATTGTGCCAATAGGTGTTCAAAACGGTCCAGTACAGTAATTTTGGATTTTGTATAAATTTTGCTATATCTCCTATATGTGGCTATAAACACCAATGAAATCAGTATCAATATAAACATCAGAAGAGCCCTTTTCAGATATTTGTGATTCCGCCGGAAAGTGCATTTTGTCATTAAAAATATTCGAGATAGAATGGAAATATTGGGATTATTCAAACAACTTTCAAGGCCCATATTTCCTGTTAAATATTATCCGATCATTATATAAAATGGTGGGATTCTGCCCTACCCTAAACTCTAACCAAATACAAAATGTGACCTTTTATCCCTATGCAAATTTTTGTGAGGATCAGGCCATATTTGCGACCTGTAAAGTAATTAAGAATTGATATGGAAAGACGGCGACTCAGCTCGGTAAAATAGGATGATCGATATGCTATATGGTGGATCTGGGAATTGTTACAATCTATTCTGTCAAGTCAATATTTAATACACTAAACTTTGTATCGAAATTTTCAGAATTGAAACACTACACGGATTTTCATAGTGATCTTGTGTTGAAATATTGTATTCAGTGGTTCCACTACCATTGGAAATTTGAAAAGTAGTTCTCTTTGTAATACCATTGGAAAATTTATAACCTATTTGTTTTAATATGGCGTAACTATAGTAAAACAATGAAATTATCACTTTTTCAAAATCGCAAATAATAAAGGAGAACAAATGCTTACCCAATGAAAGAAAAGAGTAATGTGATACGCAATAAAACCTGCTAAAGAAAGCAAAAGAAAATCGATTGCCACCAACAAAGAAAATTCCCTTTCTCTTCAATGCCATGGCAACAAATGCTCCCCTCTTCTTCTCTGCTAACACATCAAAAGTTTCATAACACAATTTTCCCATTCTCTGGTAGTTTTATTGTTCCCAAACTTATTTTCTATTCAACGGAAGTGCAACAAGGATCACCAACAACAATGAAATGAATTTCCATAAAAATAGAATCGTTAAACAAATGAAAATCAATGAAACGCTCGCTGTTTCTGGCTTTAACCCGGTGTTACGGTATTATGATTTGCACTGAATTGGATACATTTTCCCACCAGTTGCTACCGCACCGCTCCGCACCCTTTGTCACTTTACTAAATGTATGCGCAGCGCAACGTGAGAGAAATGAGATTTTCCTTTGACAAAATTTTCTTAACAATACCCGCAACATTATCAACGAGCAGCCCCTTCCACCGCATAGCAAATGTGCCTCATTGAAGGGGAGAGGGTATTTCGTCATTGTTGGCAAATGTTCGCTGGCTCGTATGCCATTGAGTGATCGTGAAAAATACCATTGGTTCCCAAGACCCGTTCGTACGAATGAAATTCCCTTGCTGTAGCGAAAGTGCGTGTTTGGTTTTGTTTAGAACATACCAGCATAATTTCGACGAAGGCGGACAATAAAAATCACCCTTAATAATTGTTTTAATGCTTTCAGTGAAGTGGTGAGAGGAGGGGGTAACTTTTCGTGGAGTGATGAATATTTGAGTTCAGATGTTTGCTGAACTGTTAAATTTGTTTAATACTATAGTAACCAATTAGGAGAGGTCAAAAGTCGGGCAGGGCCGACTATATGATACCCTACAGCACTATGTGTATTTAGTAAAGCTTCCGTAACAAATAAGTTTATATTGAAAATTTTGTGAAGTAGATCCTACCAAATATGATCCAAATAATATTGTTGTATAGTGCGTGATATGACTTCGAAAAATATTTATTGCAGCAATAGATGTACAGAGCCTAGTTTCACCAAATATTCTGAAGGGTGTATTAAAGCCTTGGGCACGCAAACATTTTGGCCGCAGATCTTTGACATTCCAACAGGACTCAGCACACGCCACCCAAGAATGGTTACAAAATGAGGTTCCTCACTTCATTTCAAGTGCATAATGGCCACCAAAATCTCCGGATACCAATCCGTTAAATTATAGTGTCTGGAGTATTTTGAAAGGAAGGTTGACGCTAAAAAATGCCAAAGTGTCGATCACCTCAAGCAAGCGTTACGCCGGGAATGGACCAAAATACCGCAGAGTAACATTTGGACAGCGTGTGACAGTTTCATTGGCCGTTTAAAGGCCACAATTCGTAGCAAAGGTGATCAAATCTAAACTTATTCCAAAATTTGATGCTATTTCCGACATTTTTTGCTTTCATTCAATAAAATTTAAAAAAAAACGTAAAATTGATGGCATTTGATTTTGTTGCAGTTTTTTAATCTCACCCTGTATATATGGGAGCTATAGCTATATTTCACCATTTGATGTACTTGTTTCTGACTTAATTCGGTCGGATATGCCAAATTTCAGTCCATTTGGGATGATATTGGCCATTTGATGCACAATTAACCCGAAATCGGTTGAATATATGTGGGAACTATACCTAAACTAGAACTGATTCTGACCTATTTCAATAGGGTTCCTCCTTGGTCCAATACTAAAACGGGTACCTATATAGAAAACGTCATATTACAACGAACGTTATCCACTGCGAGTGTTAAATGCCAAATTTGAAAACATTTCGTGGGTAAATACGATTAGGATTATCAAAATACCGAATATCGGTGGTTATGAGACTATAGGAAAACATGGACCTAAATATTCAATGTTCTGCCACCGGAGCGAAAACCCATTAAGACCTTCAAATATCAATTTTTAGACAAATCCGTGGAAAAATGTGGCAAAAATCATAAAAATACCGAATATCGCGAGGTACCGTTATAGGAGGGCTATACCAAAACGTGGACCAATATATCTCATTTTATATACCAATCATCCTAGACACAATACAAATAGTTGTGCCTAATTTTGAGGCTCTGCGTCAAATAATGTGGCCTGTCTCGTGATTTCGATATAAAAAACCTTTGAGAGAGAGGTACCACAGAAGGGGTTTTAGCGACACATTTTAATCATAGATCTAATATATCATGGCAGCATATCTTATATCCTTTTGAATGTTTTTTATTTATTTTTTTTTTTTTGCAAGATATCGTCATGCCCTTCTATCGGTCCGTTAATTGGTCTCCCAATGAAAATCCACTATTCAAATATTTAATACTCTCAGTGAATATTGCACCTCCAAAAAAAGATCTTCAATCAGCCTTTGAGAGGCTAAAAGCAAGACAACAGAAATAGGTCTAAAAATACCCCTGACGAAATTTTTTAACATACTTGTAACTTCTACTTCTGAAGAAATTATATTGGGCGCCATTGGTTTAAATGTCTGATACTATATTAGACGAGGCAGACATTGGTATTTTATGAAAAGTCAGATACTATGTGTTTAGCTTGCATTTATTCCTCTGGGCCTACAAAATCAAGGAAACATTTGCCCTTGTAATATACAAAGTGATGTGATTTTCTTGTGAGGGTCTTACGTTGGGCGCCATTATTCAATTATTTTTCAATATACACGGTTCTAGTCAAAATGCAATATTTTTAATATGTCTTCGTTTATATTTACGTATTTTCAACAGTTTGCTCAAGTCCCCAGCAATATATTGGATCATCCAACTTCAGCCGCATTTAAATACCGTTTTAAGTGTTAATTTTCTTTTTAGACTCACAGTACATATAAAACTTCGATTTTCAATTTAAATAATTGAATAGAAATTCCAGTATGCCGCCAAAAAATGTCAACTAAATATTATATTTTTTGGAAAACCGCATTATGTTAGGACCGGTGGTGATTTTTACATCATGTCCTGTTTTTACTTTACGTCCTGTGTATGATGTTGATGGGCCCAATATACTGCTGGTTATTGAAGTACTTGCCAGTGACAATGAGTCTTTTTAGCTTGAAAACATTTTATTTCATGCATTTAGAGGAATAATCCTCTGGGCCTACAAAAATGGAAACATTTGCCCCTGTTATATACCATATGATGTCATTTTCTCATGAAGGTCTTACGTTGGGCGCCATTATTCAATATTTGTTTTCAACATACATGGTTCCAGTCAAAATGCAATATTTTTAATATGTCTTCGTGTTTATTTACTTATTTTCACTTTTCATCACACCACCAACCACCACCCTTTCACAATAAATTGCGCCGTTTCTTATTTTTGTGAATCAACAATTTGTAGATTGTTCACACAAAGTGGCCGAATGAGTGGAAAGAATGATGACTGAACCAATGAGAATAAATGGTGGAGTGGAGATATTATTTGGGCAAGATCTTTTTGGTGGTGGGTTTTTTTCAATTCTTTCAAAACTTCGTCAACTATAAAAGGTCAGCTGGAAATTGATGGAATGGCAGTGTTAGTTGCACAACGATTCCGACAACAACCAAAAAAATAGTTTCTCTATAAAAATTTAAGTGTTTTTGTTAAAACAAAAGCCTCCCAGCACTGGGAGGCTTAAAAATTTAAATAGTTTGGAATGAAAAAGTTTTAAAACCATTATTAACCAAAAGCAACAAAAAACAGTGTTTCGTTATACAAAATCAATAGAACTGGTAAAACGTCATCCTCAAATTCAATTGTCAGCTACACTCAACACAAATACAGAACATCGCCAAAAAAACCTCAACTCTGTGAAAGTCTTGTTATTTGGTCGTCGACTCAAGAAAATACCGCTTTGGAAGAAAGCAGAAGCAAAATTAAGTAAAACTTGCTGTTCTAAACAAAAATTAAATGGTTTCGTATCCAAATTACTGCTTTGGACTAAAACTGCGGCGTTATTTGGAAATTTCAAGATTATTTTGAACTTAAGATGCCGTTTTCTACAAAGATTCCGTTTGGCTGCCACAAAATTATTGATTCTTCGGCTTCAAACTCTGTGTAAGTATAGAATTTTTGACTATTATTTCGAACATATCTGTATTTTGTTTCTTTAAAATATAAGAGGAAATATTTTGATAGACAATCGTTCTGATTTTTTTTTTTCAATAATGGTCCACTTTTTGGTATAGCACCATATACCAGTACCTACAGCTTTTCAATATTTTAAAGATTTTGGTCCAAATTTTTCACAGAATTGTAAAACTGCTCATAATAATAATCTCCACATAACAGTATCTCCAAATATTGAGTATTTCAAAGGCTTTAATTCCAATTTTCAATCAAAACAGCTATTATTTAAATGAATGGATTAGTTTCTCTTTAAAACATTCAATATAGGTATAACCTTCATATAACGGATATTTCAAATTTTAGGGATTTCGAGAATTGCAAATTTGGTCGTGAATCAAGATTTCACATGGTAAAGGATATTCTACTCGTTTTTACTCTAGTTCCCTTAGAGCTATGGAATATTTCTTAAATATAACTTTTTAGTTTCAGCAGCTAAAGTTTCCTTAATACCCTCTTAACTTCTCTAAAATATTTCTTTCACCCAATTATCAAAATTAAATAAACTCACCTCAATTTTGAATTCTAGTATTTTCTACTACCTTCCCCCACTGTGTTGCCTTCAACATAATCGCTTCCGTTAGGACATGTGCTAAATGTTGTCGTTTCATTAATCCAAAAGCCCGCCAAAGTTAAATGGCAGATGTACCACCACCAAATTAAAATCCATCTGCCTTGGCGGGAAATTCAAAAAATATTTTGCAAGTCCATCTGCTTTTGTTAGCCTTTGTTCTTTCATATTTATGAACATTTCCTTTTCAACCCCTTTTGTCAAATGGAAATAATGACAGCATTTGGCCAGTCATTTTAGAGCTTTTATTTGGCAAAAGGGCGGAAATATTTGTCAAAGCTTCAGCAGATCGAAACAACAAATGGATGTTAAATTTGAGAGTCAAAAAAGGTCTGCGTGGCATTGTTCAGTAGTTGGGAGATGGTGGGTCAATGGGTATAAGGCATACATCTGTCTTGGGACATCTGCTATTTGTGACAACGATTTCCTATAAAGTTATTTTATTATCATCTAATACCAGACCATTACAATCCTTTATGTCTGAATATCATATTTTTCAAAGACTGTACCCAAAATATGTAACATTCGATCTTATATATATGGGATTCTAATGGACTTATGTTAGGCGCCACGGTAAAAATTCTATGACTATATTGTACGAGGAATCAGTTGTGCCTTGAGATTTTATAAAAAAACAATACCAAGCCTTTTTAGTTTTATTTTTAATAATATAAAAAATATTGAACGCTCAGCTCCCACGTTTATTATGGACTTATATTGGGCGCCAATTTTTAAATTCCTGTGACTATGTTATACGAAGAATTGGTTGTGCCTTGGCATTTTATAAAAAAGTGCGTTACTAAGTTCTTTTTCATTGTTTATAAATTTCATTCGCCCAACCCCACGTTGGGCGCCATTACCTCCCCATTTTTAGTATAAATGAGATCTAAACATTTTTCCTCGCGCTATTTGACCCGTTACTCATTATCCAACTTCATCTCATTCCAAATGTTGGGTAAGACATTCAAGTGACTCTGTTTGGCTGTTTTTCTTCCACAAAGCTCCACCGTTAACTAGCCACACAGTTGCCTAGCAGTGAATTATAATTGAATCTGATTATGTCTTAAACCTTATTTGGGAGAGTGTCATAGACTATAGCAAGTGGGTTACTATGAATTTTTTGCCTGTAAATTTTATTAATCTGGGTTACGTTGGGCGCCATTCATAATTATAGAGTTCCAGAAACTGTACAGAGTATGTAACTAAGTTTTTTTTGATCGCTTATGACTTGTCTTCCTTGGGCGCCATTCGTGACTGTAAAAAAGAAAATAATGAAGCACCTCTGGGAACAGGAAGTAAGGAACTGCTTAGCATTCACCCCTCTTCGCTCTTGAAAATCATAACATTAGGCACGATCTTGGATCTCCATTCGAATGACGAATATGTTTTGGAACTTGCCACTTCGTTGCCTTTAATGTAGTCTTCCTAAATAAGGTTCTGACTCTGTTTGCTTAAACTATCCGCAGATCAATTGCAGCCCCTCAAGAGTGCCTAAGCATTATCGTTGTTTGAAGAGATAGAAGAGATAAAGAGATCGCACCTAAAGCATTAACGTTGTTTGAAGAGATAACTTCCCATTTAAGTAACTGCATTAACTTCGGAACATATTTCAACCAAGCTCATTCTTCTACGTTCTTGGCTCCGTTAACCCTTAAGGTGATGGGACAATTGAAAATTCTTGCCACCTTATTATCTCATGACTAGTAATCAGCCTGCGGACCTTGCTAGGCATGCGATTGCAGTATTTTGTCTGTCTATCTCTCAATACAGTAGGAAATAGCAAACCCCAACTCTTTCAGATTTTTTTTGTTTATTTTTTAATATTAAATAATATTTTAAGTTCTGGGCCGACGTTGAGTGCCATTGTATTTAAGTCAGTGGAAATGAACGAAAAGAGGCGTACACTTGTTCTATTGGGCACGACTGGACTCTTTTAGGCTGGCGATCGCAATATTCAATGTAGTTTAAGACGCCGTAGATTTGGAAACACCACATATGGCAACTGGCAACCCAGTAGGATATAAAAAGCTCCCACATAAAACTCCGTAAGCTCCTTTTGCTTTTTACAAATTTAAAGAATGCCTTAACGTATGGGCCGACGTTTAAGAAATAACAAAAATTTTATAAGAGGGTTTTGTTCTGCCGTTAACGGCTGGACTTTTTTAGATTGTCTATCCAAAATTTCGGCCAGGACAGAATCTTTTAAATTTCGAAACATTGAACTCTCAGGTGGCAAGTTGGGCGCCATTATGTTTGAGAAATTTAAAAACATGGAAAAGAGGAGTAATCAATTAGATATTGCACAGGTTGGGCGCCATTGAAAATTATATTTAAGGAATTTGAGAACATGGAAAAGAGGTGTAAGGAATTTGAGAAGATTAAAAGTATCCATAATCATTTTTAGGACAGGAATGCCTGGATCTTCCAGGCTTTTGCGATTTGGAAACGCAAGTGGAACTTTTTCAGTTTATTTTTAGATTTTTTTTCTATCTTAAACAGTACGACACCAGACAGCACGGCACCAGACATTTGGCTCCATTGTAAATAGTATTCGAGAAATTTGAGAAGAGCCGTAATTATTTTTTTTCTGCTGGGAACGATTAGGCGCTCTCTGCCGGGATACCTTAGATTTAGAAACAGTATAATTTGATCATCTCCATTCTCTATCCGCAAAACATGTGGGAGACTCAAACTCCCAAAAAATCGAAGACATGTAATTTCATTTTGGCCTTTTTTATGTTTACGAATTGTACACAATCTGGGACCCACTTTGGGCGCCATTATTAATAGTATTCAAGAAATTGTAGAAGATGAAAAATAGCTTATCATAGTGCTTAGTTGCTCGATGGAATTTTCAAGAAATATTTTTGTATAAAACGAGAGAACTTGTTCATATTTCTCTCTCAATCTCCCCCTTCCTCTCAAAAATGTAACCATTATATGTTTTTTCTAAGTTTTTCTCAATGGTAAGCAATATTATACGATAAGGGTTTTATGTTGGGCGCCATTGTAAAAAAAATATTTATATATATTTGTGTGGAATTATTTTTATATGTAGTTCTAAATAAATATTAGTTTGTTTTCGATTTATTATCATTTCAATTTTATTTCTAGAAAATATGTCGTTTATATTTAAACTTTTCTATTTACAGAATATACAAATGATGTCTCGAACTAAAAACCCTCCTCCGGATCATTGGCAAGGATTTTGGCAAATAGTTTGATATTAGAAAGAGTTCATGAAGTTGCTTAAATTAAAAAAAAATCTCCAACAAACCCCACCCAAAATATTCCCAAAACAAAATTGCACCAACAATATCGGAATATGGTAACCCAAAAATTTTGAAAATTTTTAAAAAAGAAAAAAAAAAAAAAAAAAAACAAAATTTACAATAAAAATTATTGTATTTTAAATTTTGTAATGCCAAAATTCCCAAAACCAAACATCTGGCCCAACCCAAAACAAGCCTTGTTATGATGTTATACTCCCGATCAATTTTTCAATTTGTTAAACCAAATCAAGCCTTAAATTTTCTTTTTCTTCAAATAATATTTATTATTACTTTGATTTTTATAAATTTTTAAAAATCTTATAAATATTTCACAATTTAAAACAAATTATTAGTATTGTTGTATCTGGCTTTAAATATTTATAATAAGCGTAGTTTGTTTTACTTTCAATATTTGATTTTAAATTTCAAATACTATTTTCCTACATATTTTTCTAAACCATAATGAATTTATGTTTCTTATTCCAAAACTATATCTTTTTCCAAGTCTATATACTATACCTTCTTAATCGTGATGTCATAATTAAAGGGAAAATTTAAAAGAAAACTCCAAATGTAAGATTAATATTCCGAAAAATATTTATCCATTGGCATAGATGGTCCAGAGGATATGGAAATCTTTAAACGTCAAATTTGTTTAAATTTTAAACAAAATATTTATTATCTTCTGGATCCATTTGAAGTATTTTGATATTGAATACCATGTCTATACTTTTCAAAACGATAACTGGTACATTTCTTATTTTAAAACTGATTTCGATTTCAAATTGCGGTAATTATGATATCACTTATTTTCATCTTTTACAAATTATCTTCTTTAAATCTCCATTCTCCTCCTAGCATAAGTGTTATTTCAATATTTTCAAATTCAAATATCCTTTAATACCATTTTTCACAAAAAAAAAAAAAAAAAAAAATGAAAATCATAAAAAGCCTCGATTTTATATCAAAAACTTTTAAAATATATATGTAACTGTTAAATTTCAAAACATAATCTTTAATATTTCTCCTACAAAAATTCATTATAAATTATAATTTTCTTAAATCAAACATTATTCAAACAATATCATATTTATAGAGATTCCCTCCCATCTTTATATATTTCACTGTTCAAAAAATATCGTTTTCTCTATTTTTTAATCTAGTTTAAAATTCGAATTTATTTAATTTTAGTTTTCAATTTTAATTAAAATTATATTATTTTTAAATTTCAAATCCAATGAGGGTCACTTCAAAAAGGCAAATATTTTAAATACAAAATTACGTTTTTACACACATCAGGAAGAAACAGAAATCTTAAGGTCCTAAATACGAGTTAAATATTTCAAATTTCAAAATTTGAATTACGTCGAATATAAGTGAGTGTGAAATCAATTTACCATTTTCCAAACCAACCCATTCCGATACAGAATCAAACATTATTTTTTTTATTTTTTTTTTGTTTCATTTTAATTTTATAACAAATTTGATTTTCAGTTGCAATTAAAATTTTTAATTTTTTTTTATTTGAGATTTCAGTGTTCTTCATATTTATTTTCAAAAATTTTATGATTTTAATTTGGGATTTAAAAATATAAAATTTTGTTTCAATATTTTTTCATTATTTTTATTTGAGATTTCAAACATAAAATTTATTTTCAAAAATTAAATTTTATTTTTTATTTAGTAATTTTCAAAAACCTTTTAATTTTGAGTTCTTATATTTTGTTATTAAATTTTATTTTTATTTTTAAAAAATTATAATTTTTCCCAAAACCATTTCTGCTGGTATTTTTTTGTCTTTTTGATGGTGACTACTGGCCTTACAATAAATTACTTTCATTTTAATAATTACCCCCAAAAATCCTATTTTAAATTTATTTAATTTAAAATTTTTATTTTAAAAATACTTAATTTTTTAATTATAATTTTCATTTTAATTTATTTTTTATATTAACTTTTACTTTAATTACATTTTAATTTTAAATTTATAATTTTTTATTGTATAATTTCCAAAAATCATATGAATATTTTTTATAATTTCCTTTGTTTTTGTGATATTTTTAAAATTCATTTTATTTTAAATAAAATAAACATTTATTATTAACATTACACATATTTTTGTTTTTATGTTTTCTTTTCTTTTAGTTTGGTTTTTATTTATTTTGCGTTTGGTGATTTTGATTTGTGCCTTAAAAAGGAAGTGTGAACTCACTTCAAGGATTAGGATTTCGTTCGTTCGTTTTGTTTTTGAGTTAGGTCGTTTTATAATTAATTTAATAAACATTGATATTATTTTCAGTCAAATATTTGTTGCAGCGACATTTATCTGGCATTTTGAATGGAAAATATAACCTTCGTGTGAATATCTCATTAAGTTAATATCAATTTATTTTATTTAAATATAATTTATTTTCTTTTAACTCATTATATATTTTTTTATTTATTTACTTCTGAAATCTTTTCCTAAAAATTAATTTTTTATAGTTTCATTGTCTTATTTATATTGTCTATTGTCTACTTAATTTCAAAGAAAACTTCTATTAATTTATGTTGCATAATATTTTTATTTATAATATAAATTACGCAGTTTTTATTCTAATACTTTTTATGCATACTTTATTTTCCTACTTAAATAACTTATATTTTACTTTCGGATTTACAAAACATATATTATTATTATTATTATTATTATTATTATTATTATTATTATTATTATTATTATTATTATTATTACTATTATTATTATTATTATTATTATTATTATTATTATTATTATTATTATTATTATTATTATTATTATTATTATTATTATTATTTTCTTTTTTCTACTTTTCAACATATTTTTATTTTCATTTTAACAAGTTTTTGAAAGTCTTATATTATTGTTTTAATGTCATTATAAAAAACAATTTATATAAAAATTATATTTATATTTTATTTTTAAAAATTATTTTTTTGATGTCAAATTCTATTTTGGATATATTTTTATGTTACAATACTTCTATATATATTTTATTTTTTTATAACTTTTATTTTCAACAAAAAAAAAAAAACTTATTTTTACTTCTTAATTTACAAATCATGTAAAATTATTATTTAATTCTTTTTTATTTTTTCAACTAATTTTAATATAATTTTTGAAAGGCTTTTTTTATTTATTTTGGTTTTATTTTTTTCCTTAAGTCAGTTTCTATTGTTTTTTGTGATAACATTTGGTTCCTTTTCTTTTTTATTACATTTATTTTTTTTTCTTATTATCTTATTCAAACTTTAAACATTATACTTTTATTTTATTTTGTTTTGTAAAGTGTTTTACTTTATTTACCTTATATCTTAGTTTATTTTACGTTTTTTATTGTTATTCTTTTTTTATAATGATATATTATTTGGTTTGTTTTTGTATTAATTTATTTTATTAATTAAATTTTTTTTAATTTCCTTTTTTATTGTTTTTTTATTAATTTTTTTTTCTTCAAAAATTAACTTTTTAACTTTATATATATAAAATTGCCCAAAAATTATATTTAAGTTATGTCATTTAAATGGTTTAAATATTATTATGTTTAATTTATTTTTAATTATCTGATTTTAATTTTGTATTTGTCGTTTGTGTATATTTTATCAACATATCATTGTTTTTTAAAAATCTATTTTAATTTGTGATTTGTTTTTACTTTGATGTTGTCCAGTCTTTGTTTATAGGTTTGATGTGTTATAAATTATTATTTTAATTACATAATATTTTTATTTAATATTCTTTTTTATTTCTTACTAAATTATTTTAAATTATTTTTTTAATATTATATCTTTAGTTTTTTATATTATTTTTTACTTAAGTTCTAAGTTATTTTATTTTAAGTTTCTTTTACTGTTTTTATAATATTTTATAATGAGATACCATTTATTTGGTTTTTATTTTGTTTATTTGTTTTTTTTCCTAATTTATTTGATTATTATTTTATTATAGTTTTCTATTGCTTTTGTTAATAATAACAACATTTTGGTTTATTTTTCTTCAGAAACAGCTCTTTTTAATTTTTTATTTTTTTTTGAATTTTGATTTAATTCTAAAATATTTCCAAAAAATATATTTCAAATATTATTTTAAATGTTTTAAATATTGCAATGTTTATATTAATTTTTTTAATTACCCTTTTTTTTTTATTTTACATTGGTCATTTTTGTGTGTTTTTTAACATTCCATTACTTGTTACATTTAAGAATTTTAAAATTGAATTAAAATTATTTTATTACAAATAAATTAATTTTTTTTGATGGTTTTGTTTAGTATTTCCTTTTCTTCCTTACTTTTTTCAATTATAATTATTTTAATTTAAATTAACATATAATTTAATCATGTTTAATTATTATTTTATTTTTAAACGATGTCTGATTTTTTTATTTTATTTTTTCTGTTTTTATAAAGATATATTATTACATTCTATTTTATAAAGATATATTATTTACATTGTATTTATTTAATTATATTTTTAATTTTTATTTTCTTTATCGTTTTCTTATTTACCGCCAAATCTTTTTTGTTTAATTTATTTTTCATTTGGGTTTAATTTAAACAATTTTCCAAAAATATTATTTTAAATAATTTTTGTTCTTATATTTATAATTATAGTTTTTATTTTTAATGGTTATTTTTAATTAACATTTTGTTTTATTTTATTTTGTTTCTTTTTCATTTAATTAATGTCTATAATTTACTTTATTTTTGGTTTTCTTTCAATGTAATTAATATTTTTATTTTTCTATTTTTTTGTTTTATTTATTTAAATTTTATTTGACAGTTACATATTGTATTCTCTTTTTAAAACTCTATTATTTATACTATTTAGTGTTTAATTCTTTTCAAATTACTTTGAATTTATTATTCGTTTATTTTTTAATTTTATTATAACAATTTTTTAAATTTACATTTTCCTATTTTTTTAATTTTCTGTTATTTTTTGGTTTATAAAAAA